TCAGTAATTTCCTTGGAGAAGGCCGACGGCTGTTCACCAAGTCTAAGCAACCGTAGCTGCCAGTCCATAGGTTGGACATTTTTTGCTGCATGTCCACCAAACGGAGGTGGCTGTAAAAAATACTGTTGTTGCGGTACAAACGGTAAGTTTGGTACTGCCTGGTTGCTATGAAAGCCGGACTGACGGGAGGTGCCGCCTGACTGACTCTCATGATACGACTGAGTATGCCTCATCGAGGTATTTCGCAGACTGTCTTGGAAATTTGAAGTAGAGGCCGACTCTGACAATCGGTCACTCTTCTTCTGCTCTAGCAGTAGCCGAGCGTCTGTGTATGTTTTCCTCGACCCGTCCGCCTGAATATGACGAACATGTTTCCTATTTCCTGGAGTAGGAAAACGGCATTTTGTGAAATCAAGGGCAGGTGGCTCCCACTTCCTAGATTTAGGATGAGGGGTCGCCTCTCGCCCTTGAACTGGTTTCCTCTTCCGTGAAGTGGAGGGTTTCTTAGCCGACTGCTCCTTGTCCAGAGCAGGCGGCTTCTTGTTGATCAACTCTTGAATTTCTCCCTTGAAGTCCCTCATGAAGGTCATGAGTTCGTTCCTTGTGATGGGAGCAGACCCATCAGTCGGCTGCTGCCGAACAGGCGGTGCGCCTGCTGGCTCGCTTCCAGTTTGAAGATGTTCCCGTTCCCTCCTTTCGGTATGACGAGTACGTCGGGCCCTTAGGGTCCCGTCTGAAGCTGTGTGAGCTTCAACTTCAAATTCATTCTCAGTATCGTGGTCCGACTGAACTAGAGGGTCGTCCAGGGGACGTCCCTCTTCAGGAGTCGGTACAAACGTGGATGCCATCTCAGAAGTACTCTCCCCACAGACGGCGCCAAATGTTTCGGGGTTTTCTGATGTCCTGCGGGAGAGTTACAATTCCGAGACTGGAACCGGACGCCTGTACCTGCAAAACAAACGGATGCTCCGGATGATTGGAGATCCGCCTCCGACGGTCAAGTTAGTACTTGATTAAGGAGTAATTAATGCGGAAATTAAAGTGATTGGGTCTCTCTAGGTGAGAGTGTTTAATGTGTGTAATCTGCTTTTTTAGCGTGTCTCCTCCCTTAATGAGGATTAAGGGAGGTATTTATAACCTCGGGAAACGTGTCAATCTAGGTTTAGGTTAACCTTGGGCTGATTGGGCTTCCCTCGGGAGTTGGGCCTAGGTGACCGGTTATCCCAGGTGTCATGGGAAGGACACGTGTCGTGTCGTAATTGGTCCATGGTGGACGGATCATTGCTTGACACGTGGCAGTCTCCTATTGGCCCATGTGACGGACACATGGCGGAACCTGATTGGTCCACTTGTCAGATGGTGATTGGTGGGGAAAAATCCCCTAATCACGTCCTACCTAGCGGAAAAAGACCAATGGGATGCAGATGGGTGTTCACCATAAAGTACAAGGCTGATGGAAGTATTGAAAGGTAAAAAGCAAGACTTGTGGCTAAAGGGTACACTTAGACATACGGGATAGACTATGGCGAAACCTTTTCACCCGTGGAAAATTTTAACACAATCAAAGTACTCTTCTCAATAGTTGCAAATAAAGATTGGCCCTTACACCAGTTCGATGTTAAAAATGCCTTCTTGCATGGTGATCTCTCTGAGGAAGTTTACATGGAAGCCCCACCAGGTTTTTCTCAAGGCTTTAGTGTTCGAGAAGGATGCAGATTAAAGAAGGCATTATATGGGCAAAACAATCATCAAGAGCGTGGTTTGGAAGGTTCACTTCAGCAATGAAGAAATTCGGGTACAAACAGAGCAATTCCGACCACACCTTGTTCTTCAAAAGAAAAGGAAAACTGACTACCTGTCTCATCATCTATGTCAACGACATGATTATCACCGGAGATGACACAGAAGAAATAGATCAGTTGAAAGGAAAACTTTTTCAAGAGTTTGAAATGAAGGATCTTGGGAACCTGAAATATTTCCTAGGAATAGAGGTACTCTGATAAAAAAGGGGTATCTTTATTTCTCAAAGGAAGTATATCCTTGATTTCTTGATAAAGACAGGTATGATAAATTGTAAACTAGCTGACACTCCTATGATCATGAACCATGGGCTCCAAATTATTGAAGGACTTGAATCAGTAAATCAGACACAATACCAGAGACTTGTTGGAAAACTGATATATTTGTCTCATACTCGGCCAGATCTAGCTTATGCAGTAGGAGTGGTTAGCAGGTTTATGTATAAACCTCAAAAACAGCATCTTAAAGCAGTATACCGAATTTTGAGATATCTGAAGAAAACACCTGGAAGAGGAGTTTTATATGAAAATCATGGTCATTTGGATCTCCATGCTTTTACAGACGCTGACTTGGGAGGAGATCGCGATAGCAGAAAATCCACTTCCGGGTATTTCACTCTAGTTGGTGGAAATTTGGTCTCCTGGAAAAGTAAAAGGCAAAAGAAAGTTTCGATGTCCAGTGCAGAGGCAGAGTTCAGAGGAATAGCAAAAGGGATCACTGAAGTCTTGTGGCTCGGGAAACTATTGTCTGAACTTGGGTATACACCTAAGAAGAGTTGCAAGTTATATTGTGATAATATGGCAGCAATTCGTATATCAGAAAACCCAGTTCAACATGACCGCACGAAGCATGTGGAGATTGATAGGCACTTCATCAAAGATAATCTAGAAGCAAAGGTAATAAGCCTACCGTTTGTAAGATCGGAAGATCAACTGGCAGATATCTTAACCAAGGTTGTTACATCACAAGCATTTGAAGAAGCATTGTGCAAGCTGGGTGTTGGAGATCCTACGGCCCAACTTGAGGGGGAGTGTTAGAATATTCTGTGAATATTTTTTGTAATTAGAATTTTTACCTTCTATAATTAGTCTATCGTATCAAATCATTCCCTGATTTTAGGAGTGATTATAGGCTGCTAATTTGGCAAGCATTAGTGTATAAATGTCCCTGTAAACCAGTCTATCAAATATACACACAATAAAGAAAAAACCTTTAAACCAAAAATCAGTTCTTAATCGTTAATTATAGACACACTGGGTCATTTCACTCTTCTTGGTGGGAAGCTGAAGATCCGTTTTCAAGAAGGTCGCGACAAGCATGTATTGACAGCAGGAGCATCATTTATAGAAGCCATGAAGCTAGATGAGCTGTTGTTAGAGTGGCCATCATCACGTAGAATACCAGCTGCTGATACAGCGTAAATTCAATTGTCTTTCAGAACTAAGAGTTAGTAGTAGCCCAAAGCTTATGTCAATGCCTTTGGCTCCAACCATTAAGATACTAGAAGCTGTCAACATTGATCAGAAGCTGCTGAAACAACTCCTTGGCGCCCAAGAATCACCAGCATCGTCGTCTGCCTCAATAGAATCTTCCACACTCAAGGAGCTGAACATCAACACTGTTAATGAGCTACTCTCTCTCTCTCTCAATCACTATACCTTCCTTGCATGATCTAACTGTCAGAGAATGCAGATCATTAACCAATGTGATTATAGAATCTTCTAGCTCTCTAAGAAGACTGAAGCTTCGCGGATGCCACTCACTGAAAGATGTATCGCCTTCATTGGAAAACTTCCATGCCCTCGAGGAGCTAGAAATTGACGGTTGTGAAGAATTGAACTGGGAAGATTTAAGAGATATCAATGAAGGGAGCAGTGGTGACAGTGCAGGGGCTGCTTGGCAAGGCCTCAAGAGTCTCCGTTCTCTAACATTGACAAACATATCAAAACCCGAACCCCTACCAAGGGGACTTGGTTGTTATAGAGGACTCAAGGAGCTATTTCTCTTATGGCTTTATAACATGATTGTTCTTCCAGAGTCAATTGGGTGCCTGTCACAACTTGATCGGTTGGTCATCCGGTACTGTCCAAAATTGAATAAAATTCCGGAGTGTTTTCCTAATCTCAAGTCTTTTAACATATCTTTGAGATTAAAGAGTGCCCAAAGCTACAGAGAAGATGTAAGCAGCATAATGGCGAAGAATGTAATCTTATTCAGTACATACCCAACATTCATCTTGGTGATCGAACTGCCCAACAAGTAAATTAAACCTTATTTATATTCTTTTTCATCTTGTATGTAGCTTAGTTTATAAAACTTATAATTAATGGTTTAATACTACAGTTGCTACTATAAGCTAAAAAAATGTAATTAATTTGTTTGGTGCTTTTGCTGTTTAATTTTGGCAGGAAGATTGCTAATACCTTTTATGTTACAGGATGTTCCTGACAATTGAGGCTTTGGGTTTTGAGCTTTTGTTAAGATTAGCTTGTTCTTTCAATCTCTTCAACACTGTTTATACTAGCAAAGTAGCAAGCATTGGTTTTATTAGTTGTGTAATTCTTCACTCAAGTAAACTTTGTTCTACTTTATACTAGCAGGTCGTGTCATTTTCGGCGTCATCAAGAACATGACCTAGGCGCGCACAACAGGGTTCGCTTGCCAATCGGGCCATACTAGTTCGCCTGCCTTGACTACTTAGGCATGTGATTATCCTATACCCTTAATAAGTTTGAGATCTGAAGTTTAATCAAGGGAGTAAAAATGATTTATGTCAAATAACACTACGACCCCTTTGAAAATAGTTGTTAGATTGATTAAAGTGGGAATGTGGAATTGCCAAAAAAATTTTAGTTTTTAGTTAAAACTTTGATAAAAGTTACATTTTTTTTTTTCTTCTAAAATTTAGGATGCATGATTGCTGATACATCCTTAAAGATTAAAGGTAGCTAGAAGCGGTTTATATGCCTCAATTTAATTATTAGGATGGGTGATGTACAAAATCAAAAATTTGTAACAAATTGAAGTCGAATCAAGGAACTTAATTTGCCAATCTTTATCTTTTCATCTTCTTCTACTTGAATCCAATTCTAATTTTATAGCATTGCTTATAAGAATTGACATGGACTTTTTACTTATTTTTATATTGATATAATCATAGAACACAAATTCTTATATGTTATAAGGGTTAATTCATTAGTGTTTTAGGAGTTACACGATCAGTGTTAGGTTATAGGGGTCACAAAACGCGCTGATCATCAGATGTCAATACTGATACAAAAAAAACCGTGTTAACCTGAATTGAGTCGTCATAAAGTGGTATCATTTCTATTAATATTTTCTAATTCCTAAATACAAATCTCACTTACATATATAATATTTTACTCCGCTTAATTCAACTTTCACTTAAAAAAAATAAAGGGGTATATGTAATAGTGTAGATTATGTGAGGAGCTAGATATATACATAAAATATACTTCGTATATAAAAGAAGATGTCTAAAATAGATAATGCACTTTAAAAACGATCGATTTAAAAAAAGATGCACCTTAAACAAAAAATGGCTTATATCGAGTTCACAAACAATTCCAACTGGCGAAAGAATAAAAAAGAATTGATCTCAGGGTCTCTTAAAATCGGGAGGGAAGTTCTAACCACTTGAAGTATCTCTCACTCTCATGTTAAATAGATTATAAATTCAAAAGATTAATGTTGTAAATCACTTCATTTATCCAAAGCGCTCAACATAAAGATACTATTGTTATTTAATATTGATATTTTTTTAGTAAAATCGTAGAATGATAATAATCGTACTATTTAAAAATAAAAAAAAAATAAAAAAAAACAAAATAAAAAAAAAAAAAACCGTGTAATCAGTCTTAAAATCAGGAAAATCAAAATTCTGTTACCAATTACATCCTTTTTTTTTTTTAATAAGATAGGAAATTTTAGAATTCGAATAAGAGTAAAAGTATATCTTCGTGACTAAGAATAATGGTGTTATATGACTTATATCACTCATATATATATATATGTGTCCTAATATTCACTGCGATCTAAGTTAAAAGGGGTCGAAAAGGCTAAAAATAAATAAAAAAATAATGGATGGCATATGTTAAGGTGGAACAATTTGTGTTCGAGTTGGAGAGATTGGGATGTTTAGGGTTCGTATTATCTTTGTATTCATCATATTTTCCTTCCCTACACATCTTTACGGCGAGCGTGCAGCTAACGGTTGGCGTAATTTTCATTATAACCAATGTTAACATCCTCATTAATTTCATTCTTCCGGTAACTATTCTATCTCTCTTGTTTCCTTTACTAAATTAATGGTAGTATTCTAAACTTTTATGTTTTGATTGTTTTAGACCATGTTATTTCCGTTAATTATGTGAAAATTGAATTATTATTTTTAATTGGTTTTTTTCGTATGCACTATGGAGTATATATTAAAGTGCTTCAAGTTTTTAGAGTATTTTTGTTAGGGTAAGTTTAAATTATACGACATCACTTGGATTATGTGGAATTTTTAAGCTTCAATTCACCTTCTAAATTTCTATTAGAGTTTTTCTCTGATCTCTACAATTTTATTTTTAGAGAATAGAAGTTTTATTCGATACTTCTTAAACTTTATCAAATTTGGCTTTAATAAAAATTACAAACAAAATTATCATTATTTTTTATCCTGTTTGCTGTAGAGATTTGTCAACTCCAGTAGTTTGACTTAATTTCTAAAGTATATTTTTTAAAAAGTATACGAAAATTAGTCAGTTTGATCAGTACTCGTACATCACTTGATTGTGACTTCAATGTCAAACAATCTGATTGATAATCGATCATATTAATTTGTATGTTTATGTAAATTTGAAAAAAAAAAAATCAATTTTCTTGACCATGATCTATTGTAGTTTAATTTGGGAATTATTAGAGATTGTGTTCCTAGTGAGATTATAGGTAGTTTTCATATTAAATTACACTTAAAATAATTTATTATCATTACCGCAATTTATTACTGCCTACCAGGCCAAACGGGCGGTGAAGTGAGTACTATTACACCACATACATGTATACATGTATTGAACTTATAGTTACTCAGCATATATAATATCATTATCATACATGTTTGTAGGAAAAAACTTCAGAAGCATCATCAAAGGATGAGGAACTAAAGCAGATGCAAAAATCCGTTGACAAACTAACAATGGAGAAGAAGATGTGGGAGGTGGAGAAACAAAAGCTTATGAAACAAGTATCAGAGGAGAAACAGAAGCTTAAGGAACAAGTAACAATGGAGAAGAAGATGTGGGAGGAGGAGAAACAAAAACTTGAGGAACAAGTAACAACGGAGAAGAAGATGTGGGAGGAGGAGAAACTGAGCCTTACGGAACAAGTGGAGGAAGCACGAGCACGAATCGAGCTGTACTCATACGAGATGATCTACCACAAGAAGTTGTCAAAACTCGAAGAGCAAGTCAAAAACATGGAGGAGGAAAGACAAGAGTTGATGAAGAAAAACTTGGTGAATGGGGAAGAAAAAGAAAAAGAAAAAGAAAAACTCGAAGAGAAGTGTACGACATTAACCAAGGAAAAGAACGAGCTTTTAAAGGTGGTTGAAGAGTATAAGGTTTACGAACAAAATGTGGGTGAAGAGTTTAAGGTTTACCAACAAAATTGGGAGTGTGAAAGATATAGCCTAAAGTCACAGATTGATCACCTATTTAATGTTATTGCAAAATATGAGGAACTTAATAATCGCCAACAATATATGATTTCACTCCTTTCAGCAGTTACCGACCAATACCGTCACAATGCGGCCAACCAGAGTACTGAGGAAACAAGCTATATGTCACCTGATTACTAGATTTACATTTTAGTGGTAGAAATTTAGCAATAGTTTTGATTATTGATTGGATCTTAATTAATTTGCTTTGTTTTTGTTTTCTTTCGGCTTTGAATAATTTATGATCAATTTTTAAATCGTTTAATTATAATTCTTATCACCGTAGGTTGTTTGAACAGGGTTGCTTAATCTAACTAAATCAATATTGTCACTTCAATGGTAAGCTACATACTTGCAAATTTATTTAATTTAGAGATTATAGTTGAAATTTGGTGATTAGAAATATTATTACCTATGCTAAGCGTAGAATTCTTTCTTCAATATTTTCTTATAAATTTAAGATGATGATTCTTGATACATCCCTACAGATCAGAGATAACTAGGCACACACATCTCTCTGATTTTGTTATTAATCAGTTAGTTGATTAATTACTATATCAAAGAAACAATTTTATGGTCTGTTATACACATTTCCACTCACATTATATGACTGCATCATTAATACAGAAAGTAGGCTAGAAAACTGCCTGAAACTACGTTAATTAATCACATGCATTATTAGACTTACCGATTTAAATTAGGGGAGCGCAGTATTTTTTACATGCCCATTATATATTATGTGCACCTAGATTAAAGTAATACAAGTATTTCTTAATAAATCTCAACACAAACATACAAGTTCCGTTTGATACTAACAAAAGCTTGGCCTAATAGAAGATCGAGATTTCGGGTTTTGATCTATATGTCATGATCGAGCCTAGACAGACTAGGCCAAACTTTCCCCTACTCCAAATTTGTTAAGGAGTCTGGCGGATTAAGGCTAAATTTAGGGAGGTTAGGTCATTTACCTTAAATTATACATCAACAAATTAATTATAAACTACAATGAAATTTCATTTATATAATTCAATGATGTACGTACACGCACAACTTACTCCTTTCTATTACAACAATATAGAGTATTAAGTCACACTTCTAGCTTGCTAGATCCCTGTAAAACCGACCAACTTTGTCAACCCAAATGTGACTCCCATAGCTATCCATCCACCTACCAAGACTCTTATTGATGATCTCAAGGCCGGAGCCTTTCCTAGGACGGCCCCGAGCCAACCAAAGGCGAATAGCGCGAGTGTCACAGTTACTAGCACCGAAACCAACCTTGCCTTGTAGGATTTTATGAACGCAGCTACAAGGAGTGGAACCCCTCCTCCGGCTGCAAATGCTGCGGCTGAAGCAGCCGCAGCACATAGCGGGCTTGGTAGGGCCCGCTTTTTATCCTCCATGGAGCCGGGCGGGCTAGGATGGGCCTCTTGGTCACGGAGGAGTTGTGCTAGCTCAGCATCCCGTTGGGCCCAAACTGACACTAGCTCGCCTAATGCCATGCTACATGCCCCACCAAACAAGCCCGCAAGCCCGGTAAGAGCCATCGTCCCCGGGTCGGGCCGGACTGCCCCGACCCCAATCATAAGTGAGGCTACAGATAGGAGTCCGTCATTCGCCCCAAGGACCGCAGCCCGGAGCCATTGGGCACGTTTCGAGTAATCCGGGCCATCGGACTCATGTTCGATTTCGATGCTTGGAGTGATGTTTGGCTTCACTTGGTTAAAGGAGGGTTTTTCATTGTTATTAGAAGACATAGGAGAAGTTTTTGTAAGGACCAAAAAAAAAAAAAAAGATGAAGTTTAGGAAAATTTGAAGTTGTATGTTTTCCTAAGATTAAGGCAAGAGAGTGTGGAAGACACACTCAGGTTGTTAAGGGGTATATATAAGCTAGTGTCTTTGGCGTGTGGAGGGCACACTTTAATCACTATTCCTAATTTTTTTCAGGTGTGTACGTAAATGAAAAGAGAACATTTATCTTTGTTCTCTTTAAATAAAGTATTTCATAAAATATAAAGCATATGATAAAAGTGATTGATGAATTGATAAAAAGATGCTTGGTGTGTTGGAGAATTGACGCACTAAATCAGATTATAAGGCGGTGTTGCATGAAATAAATTTTAAGAATCTTAAGTGTTCATACCTAAAATTAAATGTGTAAATTGGTTGATTAGACCAATCATAATGGGTGCTAACTTTTTTTTTTCTCCATAAAAAAATTTAGTTTACGCGGAAGTAGCAGAATGAAATACAATACTCGCATTTTTGTAGGGTAGGTAAAGTAAAGGCTCTATCATACCTTTGTAATGCAACTCAGGTTAGCAAACAAAACCCTTTAAAAGTGGGTGAGAGGGAGGGGAAGGAGAATGGGCAAGGATAAAGAATCTCCACCCTCAATGATATTAGTGTAGTAGCGTAATGTATGTTAATAGTCTTAGCTTGATACTTGCCATTATATATTTAAATGCACAATCTTTCCTCTTTTTGGGCTGAGTTGGATGAATTTGTTTTCTGTTACTTTGATGATATGGTGTGTACTCTATTTGTTCTCTCAAAAAGATTGGTTTTCTTTCTTTCACATGTGAAAGCCAAAATTACTCCGTAGGTATTAGGAAATACGAACTTATGAAGTAGAAATATTATGTCAATCTTAACTTGCGGTTAGTCCAAGTCTCCGAGGATGGGTGCTGCACAAAATCGTAAAATTGTAACAAAATTAAGGAACTAAATTTGCCAATCTTTATCTTTTCATCTTCTTCTACCCGAATTCATTTCTAATTTCATAGCTTTGCTTTTGCTTGTAGGAGTTGACATCTACTTTCTACTCGAACATACTTGTATTAAAATTTCAATGAATTTAGTTCATTTTGTTGATATATGTAAAAGTCAACATTAAAATCAAATCGTACTAGAATGTTGAGATATAATTTTGTTAAAAAAAGCTTATCCGATTGAAAATCAAATGTGTTAATACTAACTATATTCCAGGGAATAAAAAGATGAATGCCGGTTGTAAAGTATTGATATACTCGATTAGTCCATATGTTAAATCACTTAAATGTACATCGAGTAAGCATAAGAAAGTTAGAATAAAGCCATAGCAAAATTTTATGATTGAAAAAGCCACCAATAAAAAAAATAAAAAAAAAAATAAAAAAAAAAATTAATTTAAAGATGAGACGATAGCATAGAACTATTGATGATGGCAAGACGTGTGGGGACGAAGGAGCAAGCACCCTGGCTTTAATGGTGTAATTGTTAACGAATAACGATTGTATGTAGTGTAAAAAAAAAAAAAAAAAAAAAAAAAAAAAAAAAAAAAAAAAAGTGGTCGGAAATGTTAAAAAAAAAAATTAAATGAAATAAAATAAAATTGTGTAGACAAGACCATTGTTGGTTAGTGTGGCCAAAATTCCATAGCTTTTACATTTCAAGGATTCTCAAAATTTCTAGAAAATTCTAGTACATTGAGAAATTGATGGAGAATTGTGAAAGAACCTAGAATTTGGTGATGGTCATGAAGACTAGACTTATGTGGAGTATTTAAAGGACATGTGTGTAGAATTTTCCACACACTTCTTCCACCTCCATACATCACCTATATATAGTGATGTTGGGCATCATTTGGAAGAATGGATCCACCCACATCATCCTCCAATACTCCGATACTATGCACTCTATGGGTGTCACTCCATGCTTGAGAATTTACCAACAAATGCCGCTCTCTAAGATATATATCATGATCGGAGTTTCCACATACACACAATCTCCCTAATCCATTGTTCCTTATTTTGTACTGAGCTCCTTTGTGAATTCTTATAGTGAGAGTTCTAATGTAATACTCACCCTTTCAAGGGTTCTTGTACTCTCCTATTTAGATTATTTTGGTGCTCGTGGTTCGTGGGTTTTTGCTAATTTTTCCCAAGTTAAATATTGTGCGTACATCTTTACTACTTATCTTGCCTTTATTTATTCTCTTAATTATTTAATCAATCTCTAAATCTTTAATTTATTGTCGTTGTGCACTCACCAACCCTAACAACCATCACGCAAAAATGCACCTAAATTAAAAGTAGACGGTGTTTCATTTTCTCATAATACTTTAATTTTTTTTTTTTTTGGTGAAATCATCATACTTTGTTGATGTAAACTTGAAAATGTTGGAATCATCTAAATTGTAATTTTGATAATATAGCATAACATGGATGACGCAATGTATAAACGCACATTATAAACATAATGTTCATATATAATCCCATAATGACAATATTGAAAATAAAAAGATGTGTTGCCTTAACATCAGAAAATTTCAAAATTGTGTTACCAATTACTTTGTATTTATTTTATAAAAAAGAAAATTTGTAAAGAATAAGGGTTATATATACTACGTACTTCCTAATATGTTGTGCTCCACTATTAATGTTTGGCATGCTAGACTTTGTCATATGAACAAAAGACTCATCAAAAATATGAGCAACCTAGGTCCTATTCCTAAGTTTTCACTTAATGACTTTGACAAATGTGATTTTTGTAGTCAGGCTAAGATTACAAAAACACCTCATAAGTGGGTTTTGAGAAATTCAAAACCATTAGACTTAATTCATTCGGATATTTGTGAATTTGATGGAAAGTTGACTAGAAATGGACAACGATATTTTATCACCTTTATTAATGATTGTTCTGATTATACTTGTGTTTATTTGATGAAAAATAAGAGTGATGCTTTTGAGATGTTTAAGTTGTTTGTGACAGAATTTGAGAATCAGTTCAACAAGAAGATAAAAAGGTTACAAAGTGATCGTGGAACTGAGTACGGTACTAATGCTTTTATAGAATTTTATAATTCACATGGTATCATACATGAAAGATCTGCCCCTCATTCTCCAGAAATGAATGGTAAGGCTGAAAGAAAGAATAGAACTTTTACTGATGTTGCTGATCATTGGTGGGGTGAAACCCTTCTTACCGTTTGTTATGTCTTGAACCGTGTTCCAAAGACTAAGAGTAAGGTTTATCCTCATGAAATTCTTCATAACAAACAACCTAATATTTCTTATTTTAGAACTTGGGGTTGTCTAGCATATGTTAGGATTCCTGATCCTAAAAGAGTTAAGTTAGCTAGTAGAGCTTATGAATGTGTGTTCATTGGATATGCTATTAATAGTAAAGCATATAGATTTTTTTTATCTAAATGCACGTGTAATCATTGAATCTAATGATGCTAATTTTTATGAGGATAAGTTTCCTTTTAAATCTAGAAATAGTGGGGGTTCATCCTCCATTATTATTCCTGAAGTTAGGTCTAACTCACAAGACTTGGATGCTGAACCCGAACTAAGAAGGAGCAAACAGGCTAGAGTAGTAAAAGACTTTGGCCCGGACTTTAAAGTTCTCAATGTAGAGGAGGATCCATCTACCCTCTAAGAAGCCCTAGCCTCAGTTGATGCAGACTTATGGCAAGAAGTCATAAATGACGAAATGGATTCACTTGAGTCTAATCGAACTTGGCACCTAACTGAGTTGCCACCAGGTTGCAAATGGGTCCTAAAACAAAAGTTGAAAGTTGATGGCACCATTGATAAGTATAAAGCTTGTTTGGTAGCTAAAGGCTACAGACAAAGGGAGAATGTTGATTTCTTTGATACCTATTCACCTGTAACTAGAGTAACTTCTATTAGAGTGCTAATGTCTCTTGCTTCTGTTTATAATCTTGTAGTGCATCAAATCAATGTAAAGACTGCATTCTTGAACGGTGAATTGGAAGAAGAAATCTACATAGACCAACCGGCCCAAGGGCTTTGTCATCCTAGGAAAAGAGCATCTGGTATGTAAGCTAGATAAATCTCTTTATGGTCTCAAACAAGCACCTAAACAATGGCATGAAAAATTTGGTAACTTAGTCATTTCACATGGTTTTAAGATAAATGGTAGTGACAAATGCATATATGTAAATTTGAGAATGACATTTGCACTATAATTTGTTTGTATGTGGATGACTTGTTAATTTTTGGCTCAAATATTCACGCTGTGAATAATGTAAAGCTATTGTTGAATGCTGAGTTTGACATGAAAGATCAAGGGGGGGGGGGGGCAAATGTAATCCTTGGGATTAAGATTACTAGGACAGAAAATGGAGTTTCTTTGGATCAATCTCATTACATTGAGAAAATCCTAAAGAAATATAGTTACTTTGACAGTAAACCTGCAAGCACACCTTATGATCCCAGTGTAAAATTATTTAAAAATACTGGTAATGCTGTTAGGCAATCTGATTATGCGAGCGTCATTAGCAGCCTTCGGCATGCCACTAATTGTATTAGACCCGACATTGCCTATGTCGTGGGATTATTAGGCAGGTTTACTAGTTGTCCTGGTAGTGAGCATTGGCATGCTTTTGAAAGGGTCATGAGATACCTTAAGAGGACTATGAACCTAGGGTTACATTATGAAAGGTTTCCATCTATTCTAGAAGGCTATAGTGATGCTGACCACTACTAGAAATAGGCCGTTTTCCGACGAAATCGTTCTGACAGACCTGAATTCCGTCAGAAAATTCGAACTTTCCGACGAAATTAGGGTATGTGATAAACTTCCGTCGGAAAAGGTACATTACGACGGAAAATCCCTCGAAATTTTTGCAACGGAAATTAATTCCCTCATAACTATAGGCTTCCGACGGAATATTCCGTCGGAAAGTTAACTTTCCTACGGAATTTAAATCCGTCGGAATTTTCCAACGGAATATTCCCTCAGAAATCCCAAATATTCCGACGGATTATTTTTCCGTCGGAATGTTCTTATATATAAAAAAAACCAACCCTCAATTCCTTCGTTTCTCTTTCTCCTCTCCTTTTTCTCTCTCTTCTCCTTCTCTGACCTCCCTCCTTCTCTCAGATCTCCTTCTCCTATCGTTTCTCTCTCCTCCTTCTCTCAGATCTCCTTCTCCTTTCGTTTCTCTCTCCTCCTTCTCTCAGATCTCTTTCTTCTTTCGTTTCTCTTTCCTCCTTCTCCTTCCCCTTCGTTTCTCTCTCCTCCTTCTCCTTCCCCTTCGTTTCTCTCTCCTCCTTCTCCTTCCCCTTCGTTTTTCTGACCACCGCTGCGCAACAAAGCCACGCACCACCGCCACTGCGCCATCGCCTTCTAAAGGTTTTTCAAAGAACAAAATAAGGTTTTTCATGTCAAATTCGACCATGAAAACCCTAGATCTAGAGTTTTCATGGTTGAATTTGACCATTAAAACCCAAATTCAAGCCAAATTAGGGGTTTTGATGGAATTCAAGGCAAGTTGTCTATTCTCTTTCTCTTATTTTTTTCGGGTTTTGCTTGAAACATCAAAGAACTTCTGGGTTTTGTGATGGAATTTCTGGGTTTTATAACTTGAAATTACTTGGATTTTTTTTGTTTTTTTCGTTTTGTGATGGAATTTCTGGGTTTTTTTCGTTTTTTTTTTTAAAAAAATTCGACTTGCTTCGTTTTTTTTTGGGTGGTTTTTTGATATTTTTTTGGGTGGTTTAGGTGGTGGTTTGGAGGGCATGGAATGGCGAGGGAGGTGGTGCTGATTTGTAGATCTGGCGAGGTGGGTGGTGGTTTGGGCGGTGGTATTTGGGTGGTTGGGAGGGAATACAGGTTAGGGTGGTGGGTGAATTTTTCGGTTGGACGTGGTGGTGGTGGGTGGTGTGGGAAAAGGCGTTTGACGTGGTGGTGGTGGGTGGTGTAGGAAAATGGGTTGGACATGGTGGGTGGTGTGGGCTGGTGGCGGGGGTGGATGTGGGTGGGGTAAGGGTTACGGGGTGGTGGGGTTTTTTTTTATTTATTTACTTTTCCGACAGAAATTTTCGTCGGAACATCTCCAACACCGACGGAAATTTCTGTCGGAACATTGCGACGGAATTTCAATTAAAGTCAACAAAACCGCCGACAGAAATAAATTCGTCTTAAATTCCGTCGGAATGGACTTTTCGGACGGAAATTCCCTCGGAATATAGCCAAATTCCTACAAAATGTAATGCGACGGTGCCTTCCGACGGAATTTCAGGATATTCCGAGGGATTATTTCCGTCGTTGATTAGGCGTTTTCTAGTAGTGGACTGGAACACCTTATCAGATGACTCTAAGGCTACTAGTGGATATATTTTCTCTATAGTCGGTGGAGTTGTATCTTGGAAGTCTAAGAAACAGCATATTTTAGCTCAGTCCACCAAGGAATCAGAATGATAGCACTAGCTACAACTAGTGAAGAAGCAGGTTGGTTAAGAGACCTGCTAGGTGAAATTCTCTTATGGGAAAAACCATTACCGGCTGTCTTGATCCATTGCGATAGTACCACGGCTATTGCAAAAGTTCAGAACCGTTACTACAACGGTAAAAGACAACAAATACGTCGTAAGCACAGCACTGTAAAAGAATATCTCTCAATCGGAGCTGTTAGAGTGGATCATGTACGCACTGAGAATAATTTGGCTGATCCTTTGACGAAAGGATTGGCTAGAGAGAAAGTCCATAATTTTTCTAAGAAAATGGGACTATTGCCATTGAAATGAGTCACACATAATGGTAACCCAACCTATGGACCGGAGATCCCAAGAAATAGGTTCAATGGGTGGTAACAAGTTATGGAGTGATATGAGTTGATTATGTTCAAAAGACATAAATTCCTGAAGCGATCAAGGATGAGTTAATAGGAACTCTTAATGAAATCTATACTCCATTTTGGAGTGGAGTACCTAGCTACAGGAGTACTCTTGATAGATTCACCTATGTGAATGTGGAAGTTAAGCCGCTTCCTATGAAATGTGTGGCAGCATTTCTAGAGCGTTCACTATACCGGGATAGACGTGCATGGCCGTAATAGCACGGGTCTATAACAACACCAAGAGTAGGTCGTGTGTGGTACGTTGTCAGAGATAGGGTTCAAAACTTCGAGTTACCCTTGTTAAATCTGAATCGTATTCACTACGCAGAAGTTTAAGTTGAAAAACACTTCTGTTTATGCACAACCTATATGTGTAAGGATTCTGCTCGAAAATGTTTTCGAAATTTCAAGTGGGGGATTGTTGGAACAAAGTGTGTTTGGGTGTGAATTTTGTAAAAATCACAAAGTCCCACATTGGTGGGAAATGAAAGTTTTACCTCCTTTATTATATAGAGTGTGGTATACTTGGGTGTGGCCCAAGGACTACCCACATTTTGTGGAGAGGGAAGACTTACCTACCGAGCCAACCTAACACACGTGCGCGCGTGCCGAACCGAGCCTGGCTGGGTCGGGTGATCAAAACAGATTTTAATTTTCCTTGATTTTTGGTAACTGTTTTGACTGATTCCCTACCCATTTTAATTCCACATTATCGTTTTTTAATTGGCCGTTTTTGACATTAATTTCGCTGGTTTAAGAACGGTTTTAATTGCTACCGTTATGCTACTGCTTTGGATATAAAAAGAACACTTTGCTCACCGTTTTCAAATACAGAAAAATCATTCTAATCTTCTTCCTCCTAAAATACAGAATTCGAGCAATTTCTAATTAGTGTTGGTGTTTAGTTGCCCGGTGGTTTTGTGCAAATCCATCAGTATATTTTTATTTCGAGAGACTATTTTATCCTGTGGGACATCCGATTGTGGTTCGATCTGATAGCACAAATTAGAGGCAGTTCCGTAAATGTTTTAAAGAGAGCGACATAATCCGCAACTCAGTCTCATTCCCGGTAACATTGTTCTTATTATTTTTGTTCCTGCAGTTCCATTTACAACAAAGGCTTACCAACAATATTCGGTTTCTGAAAGAAATTGCCTAACGTTTACGATTGATAGCCAAATTAACCTTATTCAACAATATAAGGAGCTTGTTAATTGGCAACGTGACTTGATTTCTACGGCTAGCAGTCTTGGCAACCATCACGCAGCGAGTGCTGAGACTGCAAGTCATATGGATCAATATTATTAAATTAATTACAATCAACTTAAACAAGTACAGCTATTTTGTGATTATTGATTATTGATTGGATCTGCTTTTGGTTTTCCTTTCTTCTTTCTGATTCTGAATCCATTTTACAATGGGTGTGATTTTGAAGAGAGTTTTGGGACAAAAAGAGTTATATGTTGGCATTGAGAGAGGATCGGCTCTCACCTTATCAGACACACTACGCATGGTGTAAATATTTAATGAACCATATACTCTGAAATGATCCTGAGCCCCCGCTAGTCATCTCGTTCTACTACGTTTTACCAACAATGGAAGCGCGTCAACACGATGAGAACCTTAATTTCTCAACATAAATATTGCACATTTTCAGACACAAAATAATGATGTCCATTATCAGCAGAATAATTTCATACCATCAGAATTGTGCTTACACTACGAATGTTTAAGATAACATAGCAAAAACTTACATAAGTTATGCTTCACTTCCATTGTAAATAGCACAAACAAGTACCGCCTAATGAGCCGAATGGACAGACCAGGTTTAAAATTAGTTTCTAGATAGTTTTTGACCAAAAACAAAAGGGCGACTCTTGATATCAACAGACTCCTATTCTATAGACATTTAAGGTGCAATGCAGCTCCCATCCATGAAGTTCATTCAAAGGCCCACTGGTTCTCCCTCCTAACCTCTTCTTCCTCCTCTGGGGTGAAGTCGTTCTTGATGTTGAAGGTCTTCCTGATCTCCTCAGGAGTCTTGCCTTTGATCATGTCGGCCACAGTTTGGCAGGTCAAGTCCAGCAGACTCTTGATGTTTAGGTAGTTAGCAGCCTTAAACCAAGAATAAATGCACCGAAAATCAGTATAACGATTTGAGATTGCCAAACCAGAACACACAAGGGAGGTGTAAAGAAAAAACTTCATGAGACTCAAAAGCAAGCAGAAGAGTACAAAGAGCATTCAATTAAACATGGCCTTGTCAGGCCAATGAAACTTTAAGGCTACAGCAAATTTCTGCTAACAGGGAATGGACAAACAAAGCTACTACAAGGGAGCAGAGTAGAATAAAACTCAATCAAAAAGATGGAAGACTTAAAATGTACAGGGCAAAGATTGATTATGTGAATAAATATCAGAAAAACAGAAACCATCATGTTAACAACTTGATAATCAGACACAAAATGCTAACAATCCATACTTCAAGTTATATCCAAGATGCTCATTTCTTTCCAAACAAAACCATAAGCATAATAATACAGATTATCAACAGCAGCAGGAATGAACTAAAAACACTCGAATAAACTATATCAAATAAACAAAAGGAAGTTACTAATAAATTAAAATTAAAACTATGCAGGAAAGAATATAGTTTTGGGAAAAGAATATTTTGACGATAGAAAAACCTCTAATCCCATCCATTTCCAGACTTCATCAGCATGTAAATGATTGGGTATTTGCAAATCAATGGGATTTCAAAAACATAGTTGTGGGTTGGCAAATCAGTGGGGTTTCAAAAGGCCCAGAAACAGTTAGGGGTTTGCAAATCAATGGGGTTTCAAAAACCCGGAAACAGCTTAATATAAAATGAAACTTAATATCCCTTCAGCACAAGGCATCGCAGCAAATTTAGCATAATCAAAATCAACCAACAGGTATGCACATAACAATTTCCAATCAAATTTCCAAAACAACTTCAAAAGACATCAACATGAAATCAATTGTAAAAATTAACCAAATTTCAGCAAATCAAGTGCGTCCCAACAAACAATTACACATACACATACCTTGATCATTTGTGATATTGTGCTCAAACAACAACAAAAACACAGTTCAATTTCTTACAGAAGCAAGAAATTACAGTTAAACTTTAAAATTAATCAATCCCCAAAACAATCCAGTTCAACAATTTCTAATAAAACAATCAATTGGAAACAATTAAAAAAAACCACATTCTAAACCAAATGAACAACGATTTAGATCTAAAAAACCACAAAACAAATCCAAAAACAGTACAATCGGAAAATTGAACAAGTAAAAAAATTAAACAGGAGCAGAAGCACTAAATTAAAGCAAGATCTAAAATCTAGAGAGAAAGGGAGAAAAGAGGAGAGAGAAAAAGAAGAATATACCAAAATGAGATCAAAAAGGGTATTCTGGTCAACTTTAACAAACTCAGCATCCCAGCTCTTAAGTTCATCATCAGCGGTAGAATTAGTAGAAGATCGATCTTCAGCAGAAGCTTTAGAAGCAGCAGCATCAACATGCTTCTTACAGTACTCAATCACCTTCGAAAGGATCTTACCAGTAACATTAGGAAGAGGAATCGCGTTGTCGGCGCAATCATCTTCGATCATATGCTTGATTGTCTGAGATTCCAAGGCGACAATCTCTTCGACATCGAATTGCTCGTTGTCCGAGGATTTCAGGGTGACCTTCTTGGAAGTGGCAGCCATTGAAGAGGTGATGAAGGAGAGAAAGTGAAGCGGCAGAGAAAACCCTAGCAGATCCGAAATGAGGAGAGAGAAAGTGATGAAAGATGGTGGGTACGTAAATGGATTTTGAGGGGTTATTTATAGAGTTGGTTGTGAGCCCGTGGTACAGTCTCATTTCTCATACGAAGTATGTTGTGACTTTTTAATTGCCTTTTTTTTTAAAAAAAAAATAATATGAGTATGGAGTACGATGGTATAAATTTGGGAATTCATGACAAAATATGTGTATATCAATGCAATTAGTGCTTGGATTTTCTTTAAAGATGCATTAATTAATTTATTAATGTTAAAAAAGTAAAGATTTTGAAAAAATAAACATTAATTATACTGGTCTAGGCGTGTTTTTGTCATGACTTCTTAAATTTATACGTGCTATTTTAATTAGTATATTTGACATTTCCCAAAGAAGAATAGAATGGTATGTCAGTGAATTTAACATCACCCAAACAGGCGTAATACTTGTAAGAAAATTAAGTTAATTGATCTTAATGAAGTTATTAGGGGTAACTAAGATATGATTATGATAATTCTCCTAAAGTATACTCGTATTACTTTTGTTTTTGTTTTTTTACACAAAAATTCTAAATTTGGCAAAAAAGGGGTTCAACTCGTGTTACGTATTTGGTTTTGTCTCAATTATTCTATCTGAATAAAGATAGTTTTATGACAATTTTATTGGAATTTTGTGGTAAGAACTATTTTGTTCGGACTTATATTTTTTGGATTTATCTTGTCTAAATTTATTTTTTCAACATATAAGGTATTTATTTTGAAATAAATGGATAATTTGTCTTAATCAGTAAGTTACTTTCTAATCTATGTAACCCTAATATGTTATACTTTGTAGTTGTTTATATCTTGACATGTATGAATATACTTATGATTTAAAAAAAAAATAAGAAAAAAATTTCTATAATACTCCATAGAACAAACAAAACATGTGTTTGAGTCCAACCTATTAGTTTATGAGGTGATACATGTTAATTTTCATGTTGTGAATTGTGATTACCTTCTTTTCTTCTTAGTGCATGCATGAGATCCTAATGTGCTATTAAAGCAAGGCCCAAACAATATAATTTAATAACAAAATTAGAATAAATAGCAACAAGTTTAGTTGTATATCAATGTTTAATTAAAATTGAAAACTGTATACTTTTTTGACGGGAAAAATTATATACTTTATTATACCTTAAAAAGCATTCACAATAAAAAAAAAAAAAAAAAAAAAATGTGTGTTACATATCATCTCTTTTAAGCACTATAAACATGCTAATTTATTTCAATTTCAAACGAACTTTGATATAGAACTAAACTTATTGCTATTAACTCCAATTCTGTTATTAATTAATTTATCATAGGCTTTACCTTTACAATATAACGTAGATTAAGATCTCAACCAAAGGAGGAAAAACAAACACGGCATGAAATTAACACGTATCACCTCAAAAAACTGACGGGGTGGACATGCGTAGTTTATTATACAGAGTATTCTAGAACCTTTTTTCTCATCTTATGCAAATTATACAAAGAGTCGTACATGTCAAGAAATAGATAACTATAGCATGACAAAGTTACGCGGAATCGCGGATCAATAGTAACAATCAAACCGGACAGTTTATTTTGAAACAGAGGGATTTATCACCCTTAATTCCAAAAATGTCCTCTTAAATTCCTACCTAGATCGGCTAGATACGACATATCTCGGCAAAATTATGATACAAATCACTTGTTTAAGTCATGTTCACTTCACCTTATTTTTACTGAACTAAAATTAATTTTGTAGAAGTTAAATTATTTTTGTTGAACTTAAATTATTTTTACTGAAATGAAATTAATATTGCTAAACTGAAATTATTTACTGATTCTCTATTATATTTCGGCCCTGTTCAGTTCACCTTAAAAAAAAATATTCAGTAAAAATAATTTCAATTCAGTAAAAATAATTTCAGTTCAGCAAAAATAAGTTCAGTTTAGTAAAATTAATTTCAGTTCAGTAAAAATAATTTCAGTTCAGCAAAATTCAGCAACTCTAAAGAAGAAATATAATAGAGAATCAATACCATTTTCCGACTTTCCAATTATATAAGAATATAAGATCATACTAGGTCTATTAGGAAACACTTTTTAATTGACTTTTTTTTATTTTAATTTGAACTTATTTTACTGTAAATTTTTGAAATGATTTAATTTTATATTGTCTGAACTCTTAACAAGCATTATCAGTCCTCGTTAGTGTTAATCTTATGGGACTTTTTTCAGTGATCACACAACTACGAATTAAGGAAAATCGGTTTGATTTAAAACATAAGTAGCATAATTAATTCGAGGTGTCAATTGGTACTAGATATGGGCGCCCGTATTTTATACTATTTGTTCTAGACTTCTCTTTTATTTACAACAATTTGTAAATGAAATTATGTCTATTGCAACTAGTGTTATGAACAAGACTCTTCCCAACCTCTCTAAGTTGGAGCCTCTTGATAGTAATAACTATAAGAGATGGTCACAAAAGTTACTAATTTATTTTTGAACAATTGGAAATAGATTATGTTTTGAATGAAGATGTTATTGAGATACTCAAGAAGGCGAAAGAAGATGCTAAAACCGTCACAACCGCAATTCCGGCGGCCACAACGAAAGCCTTGAAGAAGAAGAAGAAAAAGGACAACAAGCTTGTTCGTGGCCATCTCCTCAACCACATGAACAACACTTTGTTTGATTTGTTTGTCAATTTCAGATCAAGCAAGGTCATATGGGATTCTTTGGAGAATAAATATGGTGTGGATGATGCTGGGAAGAAGAAGTACGTGGTGGGCAAGTGGATCAACTTCAAAATGGATGATGAAAAGCCTATCATGACTCAAGTCCATGATTATGAGAACATGGTGACCGAAATTCTTGGTGAAGGCATGAAGATGTGTGAGACTCTTCAAGCTAATGTCCTCTTGGAGAAATTTCCTCCATCTTGGAATGACTACCGAAATTCTTTGAAGTACAAGAAGAAGGATATGAGCCTCCAAGAACTCATTAGTCACATGAGAACCGAAGAGGCTAATCGCCTTAAGGATAAGTTTGAAAATTTATCTCTTAATTCTTCTAAAGCTAATCTTGTTGAGTCTCCTTTGAATGTGTCTAAAAATAGGAAAAACTCTAAGAAGAAGGGAAACAACAAGTCCAAAAGCAACTTCACTTACAACAACATAATCCAAAAGCCTAAGGGAGCATGTTATGTGTGTGGAATCATTGGACACAGAGCATACCAATGCAACCGAAGGCATGGAGCCAAGAAAGATGGCAATACCTCCCAAGCCAACATTGTTGAAAAGGAAGATGTCATTGTGGCGGTGGTGGTTGAAGCCAACTTGGTGGAAAACAAAATTGAGTGGATTTTGGACTCCGGAACATCAAGGCATTTTTGTGCAAACAAGGCTTTGATGACCGAGTTTGAAGATGTAACAGACGGCGATTATGTCTACATGGGCAATAGTAGCACCGCAGGAGTCCTAGGCGAAGGACAGGTCCATCTCAAACTTACCTCTGGAAAAACTTTATTTTTAAGTAATGTGTTGTATGTACCTTCTCTTAGGAGACACTACAAGAAAACAGCTTGATTCCGACGAAAAAAATTCGTCGGAAAAATCGGAAATTCCGTCGCAATGGTCTTCCGTTGGAATCAGTCTGTCGCAAAACCCATTGTAGGAAATTCGACCTTTTCCGACAGAATTTCCGACGAAAGGCTAGTTTCCGACGGACTTTCTGACGGATTTTTTTTTCTATCGGCGCTTTTTTTTTACTTTAGTTGAAGTTCCGTCGCAATTTTCCGACGGAAATTTCCGTCGGAAAAGTCAATAAAAAAAAATAAAAAAACCAGCCCCACCCCTGCTCACCACCCCAACCCACCCCACCACCACCCCCACCCACCAGAACGTACCACCGTAACCCCAACCCACCCCACCACCATAACCCCATTAGCCACCCCCTAACCCACCATGACCACCACTAGACCCTAACCCACCCACGCCTCCACACACCACCAGCTACCAGCCCTAACCTGAACCCACCCACCAGACCCACCTAACCTGAAAATATTCTCCTAACCCAAACCCAACCACTAGACCCACCACCTTAGCCGCCAGATTTACAAACCACCACCACCCACCTCGCCATTCCCTACCCTCCCCAACCACCACCGAAACCACCATTCCCCACCGAAACCAACCAAAACCACCATACCTTCAATTCCACCTCCAATTCAACCACCACCACGACCACAATTCAAACACCACAAAAAAAAATCAAATCAAATTAATAGAAAGAAAACAAAGACATACCTTCAATTCCACCTCCAAAACCTCGAAATTGGGATTATATGGTTAAATTCGAACATAAAAACTCCAGATTTGGAATTTTTATGGTCGAATTTAACCATAAACACCATAATTATTTGTTTGTTGACGACCACCAGCCCACACATATTCCATTCTTGTCGAAAATTCAAGGAAAAAGAAAAAGAGAACGAAAATGGTGTCGGAAACAGAGAAAGAAAAGAGATGGAGAGAAAAATGGAAGGAAAAGTGGAAAGAGAACGAAGGAGAAACCAGAAGAAAGAAGAAGAACGAAGGAGAAAGAGGAACAGGAAATACTACAAGAAAACAGCTTGATTCCGACGGAAAAAATCCGTCGAAAAACGGTCTTCCGACGAAATTCCGTCGGAATCAGTCTGTCGCAAAACCCTTTGTAGTTTATTTCTGTCGGCACTTTTATTGAGTTTAATTGAAATTCCGTCGCAATTTTCGACGGAAATTTCCGTCGGAGTTGAAGAGGTTTCTGACGGAAATTTCCGTCGGAAAAGTCAAAAAAAAAAAACACACCACCCCCACTAGCCACCCTAAACTACCCCCACCCACCCAGACCACCCCCGCCCACCACCCCTATAACCAGCCCCACCAGCCACCCTAATTGAAACCCACCCACCTAGACAACCCCCACCCAGATGACCCACCCAACACACCCACCCAGACCACCCACCACCACACCTACGAATCGAACCCCCCCGACCCATCCAA